TATATATATATATATATAAAATTTGGAGTAAATAGTCTTTTTTCACATTCAGTGGTCTGTTATGTAAACCCATGACAGTGCTGGCTCTTTGTTGTCTGTCTCATTGAGAAGAATCCGTTATGTAGCAGGACATATTATAAATGTGTATGTACAGAGCGAAGCTGAAAACATTCAAGAAATATTCGAGGTGATACTGACTGACTTCTTCAACAATGCAAAGCCTCAAACGTGATTAACTTCATTTTATGCACATATATTATAGAACACTACAGCAACTATTTTGCGATATGTTTTAATTTCTTTACAAGTATTTTTAAGGTTAAAAATGTGCTACCAAACATACATGAATATAAAATATTTTTGCTTATTGTACAGTCAAACCAGGAAAAATATCAACTTTAAAAAAAAAATAACAATCAGGCTTTAAAAGTCTTAGTAGTTTCAGGTTCTGTGTCATAACTGTATATAGTTATATAATATTTAGTACAGTCCAACACTTGGCAATACCACAAAAAGGACTGATACACTTAATCCATAGGTTCAGATGTATGTTTAAGGCCATGAAATTCTACAGTCTTAAATTTCAAGAAAAACATTGATTGTTGTAAAGAGAAACATGAAAAGCATCTGCACAAGGATGCAACACTGAACGACAAAGTGTAATAATTCTCAGTTAAGAACGAAATCGTAGACAATAACATCCAAATCCAATTAAGACACTGTAAAGTGAGCCCCTTTGTCCCTAAACTTTGTCCCTTACTCCGCCCTCACTCCTAGCCCAACCCTTTCCCCCGCCCACCTGGCGGAGGTGACTGTGGTGCTAGAGTGTTGTAATCTGAGTCAACTCAGAGTTTGAGTTTTCTGTCCCTGGATTGGGTCGAGGCTCAGGGCTGACCAGGGGCAGCTCCACGCCTAGTCATGCAGGGTTACTGTTCCCGTCCGCAGTCTTGCAGTTGTAGGCCACCTCACGTGCAATGTTGCGCATGCGGCCCGACTGCTGCGCATTAAGGCCAAACGGTGAAGGGTGGCAGAACTCACGGAAGCAGCGCTTGAAGTTTTCATCGAGGAACGCGTAGAGGACGGGGTTCAGGCTGCTGTTGACATAACCCAGGGCGATGCAGAAGTGCATGAACACCACCGTCTGGACACTGCCTAGGTTGAAGCCCAGCGACTGTGCTAAAGCCATGATCTGGATGGGCGTCCAACACACAACGAAGACTGCAACTACCACCAGAACCATGCGTGTGATGCGCCGAAGGTTGCGATCTTTCTCCTTGGACCCTGAGAGGATTCGGACATTGTGGAGGCGCTTCACCATGAGGCTGTAGCACACGCTGATGATCGCCACAGGAACGAGAAAGGAGAGCAGGAAAACACAAGTCCCGAACACTGGGTCCCAATAACTGCGAGGATCCGGGAGAACCAAGATACACTCAATGCCTGTGAGGAAAAAATTTTTTTATATATATATATATATATATTTGTCACAATTCTGTTCCTGAATTGAAATTTTATTTGAATTGAGGTAGCAAACAGGATGCAAAATTGTAATTTGAGTTTGAATGTAAACAAGTAGAATTATATTGAAATTTAATGAAAGTCGTACAACTGTAATGCAACTATAGAAAAACAATGTTTGACAAGAAAACTCTGAATGCTGGCTTGGTTGCAAATAGATATAAAGATTTGAAAACTAAATGTTTTGAACAGACAGAAACTGCTATTCAGTAACTTCCTCTTCCTGTCATTTCAATTCAAATTCCAAGTCAGCTGTGTGTTGTGGCTAATGCAAATTCACACTTTGAATTTAAATTTAAATTAAAAAGAAAGAAAGAAAGAAAGAAAGAAAGAAA